AAAGCAAAAAGCTGGAAACAGATTCAGTGCTTATAAGCATGAGATGGGTAAGTGTGGTATAGTTGCATCAGCGTGTAATGTAGCAGTCAAAATGAATTAACTAGAGTTATGTGGATCAATATGGAAAAACCTCTGTTGAGTTAAAAGAATGAAAAGAAAATACAAAGAAAGCCCCAAAGCCATACAGATTAGCACATTTACTTAAAATTTGAAACATGCAAGAAAATTCTGTATTGTTGCTGAGAGGAATCGTGGTAATAATATAAAAACATACATAGGAAAAATGAAACACCAAATTTAGCATGGTGATTCCTGCTGTGGGGAGAGCAAAGGAAATGAGATAAGTCTACACAGGAGACTTCAGCTGTAATAGTTAACAACGAAGACCTGAAGTATATATGACTAATTCTAAGCTATGTACTAGATACATGTATGTTCTATATTTTATTTGCTATACTTTCCTGGATGCTTCAAATATTTCATAATTTTAAAAAGCAAAAGGTATATGAGAAACATATTATGATGGAATGATAGCCAAGCCGAGATGCTGTTTTAGTGAAAAAATTTTTATTTTTATTAAAATAGTATGTATTACCATGTAAATATAATTTACAGTGATACCAGATGATATGTTGAAATCATATCTGCTTTTTTGTGTAACTTTCAATGTCTTGGAGCTAATGGATATATCATGAATATACTTATCATGAATTCCTTCCCAAATTCTCTGTCAGAGCTATAAAAAATTCCTCTAAACACAGTCAAACCCTTCAGGTAACCTGTCTCTGTGTGTGCGTGCGTTTTGAGTCGCCCCTCCTGGAGCCCTCTGCCCTCCTGCTTGGTCTGGACAGATTGCTCTCAGCTTGCTGCACAGCAGGCATCCTGAAGCTTCCTTTCAGCATGAAATTCACTTCACTTCTCTCCTTTGTTGAAGTCGCTGTCCTCTTTTTTTCTTGGTTTTCTTATTTTCATGAAACATGTATTCCAACAGATCCCAAAAAAGGGTACCATGGAGATGCATTTTTAAGATCTTGCGTGTTATCTGTGTTCTAATCTCACACTTGAGTCTTTGGTTAGAGATTTCTAAATTGGAAATGGTATAAACTGTATTCTTTCCGAGTTTTGTAAGCATTGCTTTGTCATGTTCTAGGTTCCAATGTCATTGTTAATAAGGCTGATAATAATAGTAACCAGTGTTTATTGAGGACTGTTACGCTCAATAGTAAGGTAGCTATGGTTGACAGCTGGAGAGTAGGCACTGCTTGTGTTTGGTTCTCATTTATATTTTGTGTTTCTCAGCTGAGATTTCCCATCTTTTTATTCTTTGAGTGTATTTTTCTTCACTTTCCTGTGGTAAGTATGTAATTATAATGTCTGCTTTAAATTGCTTGTCTGAGAATTTCCACATCTGTGTGTCCTGAGTTGGCATGTCAGCTCCATGAGTCTTCCTGTGCCGAGTGACGTTGTGTTGTATCCTGGACATTGTGAAATGATGGTGGAGGTGTCATATAACAGAACGGTATGGATTCTGTTGGGTTGCTGTGAATGGTGTTGGTGTTTTCAGTTTAGCAGGCAATCAGCTTGGCTAGACTCAAGCTGCAAACAGCCACTCCTGCAGCGGCTCAGAGCTCAGTTCTTGCTTAGAAGTTGCTTTGTTTCCCCCAGCACGTGTGTGGAAACTTGAACTGAGTTTAAACGCAGAATTTGGGATTTTTCTTCTTTGACTTTCCTGTTTCTGGATTCCTCTGCAGTTTCTGGCAGCCTGCATCTTCCTGCCAGAAGGATGGTTGGCTTCCCATTAGAGGATTGGCTGCCCGCCCCAGACCCCTGACCCCTGGCCTGCTGCTGCCACCCTGGGCTACAGCTGCCATCCTGAGGGCAAACCAGAGAGAAAAAGTTGTGGGGGAAGAGAGGGACTAACTGTGTGCTGTTCTCTCTTCCAAGTTTCAAACTCCCGCAAAATCTGCCTGCCTTTTTTCAGTCAGCTGAGCCTCAGGAAGCTGTTTTTTTTGTGTTTTGTTTAGAGTACAGCTGTCATTTGCAGGAGGGCTGATTGGTTAGGCACTGACTAGACAAGGAACTCTGACAGCCTGGCTTTGAAGCCCAGTTTTGCCCTCTTCTCTTCTCTTCTCTTCTCTTCTCTTCTCTTCTCTTCTCTTCTCTTCTCTTCTCTTCTCTTCTCTTCTCTTCTCTTCTCTTCTCTTCTCTTCCTCTCCTCTTCTCTTCTCTTCTCCATCTTTGTCTCTCTTTCATTCTCTCTTTCTCTCTTTCTTTTTTGAGACAGGGTCTTACTCTTTTGCACAGGCTGGAATGTAGTGGTGTGATCACAGCTCGCTACAGCCACCACCTCCCGGGCACAGGCAGTCCTCATCTCAGCCTCCCAAGTAGCTGGGGCAACAGGCGCGTGCCACCATAACTGCCTAATGTTTAAAAAAATTTTTTTGTAGAGATGGGGTCTGTCTGTGTTGCCCAGGTGGGGCTTGAATCCCTGGGCTCAGGCCATGCACCCACCTTGACCTCCCAAAGTGCAAGGATTACAGGCATAAGCCACTGCGCCTGCCTTTTTTTACTTTTTTTTTGAGACAGGGTCTCGCTGTGTTGCCCAGGCTGGATTGCAGTGATACAATCACTGCTCACTGCAGCCTTGACCTCCTGGGCTCAAGCAGTCTTCCCACCTCAGCCTCCTGAGTAGCAGAGACCACAGGTATACACCATGACACCTAGCTAATTAAAATTTCTTGTAAAGACAGAGTCAAACTGTGCTGCCAAGGCTGGTCTTGAACTCTTGGTTTCAAGCAGTCTTCCTGCCTCTGTCACCCAAAGTGCTGGAATTACAGGTGTGAGCCACCATGGCCAGCCTGCCATTTCTAATTAGCTTTGTGCTTGGACAAGTTATTGCACTGCTCTGTGTCATAGTTTCCTTATATGGCAAGTGGTGAGATACTGAATTTTATTAATTTATTTGTTTTTTGAAACAGGGTCTCACTTTGTCACCCAGGCTGGGGTGCAGTGGTATGTTCTTGGCTTGCTGCAGCCCTGACCTCCTGGGTTCAAACGATCCTCCTGCCTCAGCTTTCCAAGTAGCCAGGACTACAGACACATGCCACTGCACCTGGCTAATTTTTTGTGTTTTTAGTAAAGATGAGGTTTCTCCATGTTGCCCAGGCTGGTCTTAAACCCCTGAGCTCAAGCAATCCTTCCAAAGTGCTGGGATTGTAGGCGTGAGCCACCACAGCCAGCTTTTAAATTTTTTATTAAGCTGAAATACAAAGAAATCAAGTGGATTCCATTGTGCTGTACTGCCTGGTACTGCCTGCCAATGCCATTGTGATTCCTAATTCTCTTTATGTTTTTTTCATCTGTCTTTCTCCATCCTCATCCTGTCCTCCTTTAAGGCTTATTCTTTTTTTTTTTTTGAGATGGAGTCTTGCTCTGTCACCCAGCCTGGAGTGCATTGGTGTAATCTCAGCTCATTGCAACCTCAGGTGCCCGCCACCACACCCAGCTATTTTTTGTATTTTTACTAGAGATGGAGTTTCTAGTTGGTCAGACTGGTCTCAAATTCCTGACCTCAAGTGATCTGCCCTCCTCGGCTTCCCAAAGTACTGGGATTTACAGAGATGAGCCACTGTGCCCAGCCTGGAATCTTTATTCTTGTTTGGAAACTTGATGATGAATCTTGATGTGGATTATTTTTCATTCATTGTGCTGGACACTCAATTTGGAAGTACATATGCTTTAGTACCAAGAAACTTCATTATAGTATTTCTTTGATA